TTTTACCTTCGTTGCAAGGGCTCAAGTTGCAGGCCTGCGTGCTGTCAAGCACAGAGGCGATGTCGCAGTCCACTGCCGGCTCGGTCCCGCTGAGGCACATCACGCGGCGGAACTGCTCGCCTCCGTCACAGGGCGCTGTGCACTGGACAAACAAATAGAATGATAAAATCCTAAGGCTACGGTCAGCTATTAAACGCTATACGCTGCATAGCCTGCATACGACGTCAGCTTCAACGTTCCTATCGGCGTCCACCATCAACGTCTGAAAGAGACCATAATAGTACATTTCTACAGAAAGCATTGTGACGCCGCTGTACACACACGGAGACCACAGCCTTAGGTGTACTCGTATATTGAGGTTTTTCCACTTTTACTATAGACAGCTGCTTTTCTAATCAAAATTCAACTGACTAAAAGATGAGGCTGGAGTCGTCTACTTGCTTGGCGTCTAAAGCTACTCAAACAATTGGTCAATTGGAGAGGATCTTGGTCCTACAGGGTCTTGGACTAAATGACGTCTTGATGAGAAAAAGAAAGATCACAATCTCCCACATTTTTCATCCAGTCATCTTGATCTGTATGTGCTGTTGAAGTTCTGAATAAATTAAAAATAAATTTTACACTGTCAGCTAGCATGGTCTATCATTGACTAACCTCAGACCAAGGTCCAGCGTACCACAAGGCGGGGCACTTTTTGACCTCGCAGTGAATTAAAAAAAAAATATTCTCGTTAGTCCTACCATCAAGTCCAGTGGGATGAACGGGAATAAAAATTAAATAGAAGGGAAGCTTGGTGGAAAGAACGGGAATAATCCACATTGTCTTACCTCAGACCAAGGTCCAGCGTACCACAAGGCGGGGCACTTCTTGACCTCGCAGGGCCGGGTGTCGTTGTACTTCTCCTCCTGGTCGCAGCGCTCGTCGGCCACCTTCAGAACCGACTCGCCGTCGAACATGCCGCAGAAGACGCGGCGGGTTTGCACGCCGACGCCGCATTCTGCTGAACACTGAATAAGATTTGGGGATGAGAATTTTTTTTTTACCACGATGATAAATAAATAAATGATGAGAATAATACGAAATTGGAATCACCACAATGAAGATTTCGACGTAGGTTAGGGTTAATAATTCCATTTCAAGGTGTAGGTATGTGTCAAATGGGTAGATTTATACATGTAATACAAATATTGTTTGACCCTTTTACTTGTTTAATCCAATAGGTAAAATTTTAAGTCACCAGAATCCCAAACTTTGCGTCGGAAAGCATTGTTGCGGTTTAAATACTGAGGGCATCGTGGTAAATAAGGAACGTAGGATTAATTAGATGTTTTGCGAGAAATTTTCTTACCTCCGCTCCGCTAACAAGGTTCGTTAGGGAAACCATAGAAAAAAATTGGGAGCTCCCGTACTCGAAAATGAGCGCAATGAATGAATCAAAGTAGTATTTTATGTAGCTGTTCAAATATACTGTTCTTTTATTATGCAATGGGTTCAGCTGCATGTGCTGACTTTGATGTCTGAAATAAAAACATTTTTATTTAATTATCAAGATGATCACCTTGCTCCACTGAGTGGCGTACCACTGGACTTCACAAGGAGGTAGCTTGGTGCGGTCGCACGGCTCCTCCAGCACTGGAGTAGGATGATACGAGCAGAAAGTGGAGTTCACCACTTTTCGGTCTTTGGTCGCGCACACAGCACTCCGGGTTTGCACTGTCGATAGGCAGTTGTCGCACTGGAAAATATATTTTATGTTAAAGGTCATAAAAGACAATTTCTTACTCTTCTATTGTCTGGGTTGTATAGCGACTGAGGATAAATATTATTCCCGCCAAAGGGTGTCTGACATGATTGATGTCGTAGATATGTGGCGCATTTTGACAGTCAAGAACTCGTTGACATTTAGAAGTCGTCCCATTGAAAAATAGTTATAAATCCGTATTAGCAAGAGTCATTCGATTACTCGAAAGGATCGCGACTCAGCGATTTGTTGTCGTTGAAGTTTTGTTACGTAGTCCTAATGAAAACAGTTCTAAATCCGTGTTCACAAGGGTCATTTCGATAGAACGATTACTCGATAGGATCGCAACTCAGCGATTTGTTGTCGTTAAAGTTTTGTTACGTGAATAAGGCTACTGGTCGTTTCAAAACTCTTAAGGCCTGGTTTAGACATAGCTATAATCGCACGGTTGCTGGATAGTTCTCGTACATTAGCATTAACCGCATGGTTACCGCTTCAGTGCCTTGCAAGTGAGAACTACTAGAAGCCACGCGGTCATTGCCCGTGTCAGAACCAGGCCTAAATCAATCAAGAATGGAGAATCTAAAAATGCAAAAAATATTCCAAAGATGACTTTTTGAAAGTGTCTAGCTTTTTTCTCACAAAAGGTATCTAAATCACAAACATTAAACAAACTATTCTAACGTCCTCTTGTAATCAGTGAATGTGAATTTCGACTCGTTCTTACCCCAGTCCAGTCAGTGAGGACCCAGTCGACTCCCTCGCAAGGGTGCAACATGCAAGCCTGCTCCGCGGGAGGCTTCTCGTCCACGCACTCCTTGTCCTCCAGGACTTCCACGCGGCCGTCCGTCTTCTGGTAGCACACCACTTGCCTGGTCTGCTTGCCTTCGTCGCACAGTTTGTCGCACTAGAATACGGAACAAAATTGTAAAGTTAGGTATAAATTAAAGAGGATTGTAATTGGAATTCATTGATGTTGCAACAAAAGGTGTCAATTACCCTACTGTTGACTGAGTTCGGTCTTTGTCAATCGCTGGACTATATTTCTATTGACCACACTTCTAACACAAGTAGGTAAGTGTTAAAGCTTAGCTGTAAGTAAATGGACTTGAAATTTTAATTACAAGTCCATTTCAGCATCGTATTATAAGCTATTGCTATCAAAATAAGTATTACTTTATTATTGTGTTATGTAGTCTTCTTTTAAATATTTAACACTAAGTACTCACAGGCTTCCAAGGTCCGGTAAACCAGGTAGGGCAGGGGGCGTCATGGTTGCACTCCTCGAACTGAGCCGGCATGGGGCCCAGCAGTTCCAAGCACTCCTTATTCGCGACCACTGTTGGATTTCTGAAACAAGGTATGCCAGTTTAGAGAGTGTAGAGAATTTTACACCTTTTTAAGCTATAAATATTACGTGTTTTATTGAAAACTAGCTGTGAACACATAACAATGATGTAGCCAAATAACCCTCACTCCCACTTGTTGCATATCATCAACACCATGGAACTATTCAAATGTTCTTAGGTAGGATAATCTGTAAGATATATTTTCGCTTGAATCCTCTCCAGCTTCAACTACAGGTATTTTGAGGTCAATAAGCCACTTATTCGGGACTATCCCCACCTCTCATTCACACTGCTGCAACTCCTGTGTAGTCAGGATCTACAGCTTCACCGCCAATAAAAACTCAACCAGTGCAGGACAAGTTTGACTCATCATCATCGTCACCAGGTTATTTAATCCCCACTGCAGGAGCACGACGACTCTCCAGCTCCAACTACCAGCTCTTTTGAGGTCAACAATGATTCACCTATTTGGAACCATTCCCACCACTGCAACTTCTGTGTAGCTAGGATCTCCAGCTTCACCTCCAATAAAAACCCAACCAGTGAAGCCCAGTTTGACTCACCTATTCGCAATGATCTTCTCGCAGTACAGGTGGCGATGCCTGGTGCCGCCCTCGCCGCAGTGCTTGGTGCACTTGTCCCACTCACCCGTGACCCACGGGGCGGCGCACGGGTTGTTGTTGCAGGTCTGGTTGGAGTCCGGATTGAAAGCCTCATTGAGAATTATTTGGCTCGAAGGACCACTGTAGTTAGTAGACTGTAGATAAAGGTACCTACATGATCTGCAAGTCTTACTTTTTCGCCTCTCCTGCTTCAACTACCAGCTATTTTGACGTCAACAGTAGCTCACCTATTCGAGACTATTTTCGCCTCTCGATCCCGTCAGTGCAACTCCTGTGCATCCTGGATCTACAGCAGGACCGCCAGTTTGACTCACCTATTCGCGATGATCTTCTCGCAGTACACGTGACGATGCCTGGTGCCCCCCTCGCCGCAGTGCTTGGTGCACTTGTCCCACTCGCTCGTGACCCACTGGGCGGGGCACGGGTTGTTGTTGCACGTCTGGTTGGAGTCCGGCTTGAAGGCCTCGTTGCAGAATAACTTGGGGTCGAAGGACCACTGTAGTTAGTAGACTGTAGATAAAGGTACCTACATGATCTGCAAGTCTTACTTTTTCGCCTCTCCTGCTTCAACTACCAGCTATTTTGACGTCAACAATGGCTCACCCATTCGGGACTATTTTCACCTCTCGATCCTGTCACTGCAACTCCTGTGTAGCCAGAATCTACAGCAGAACCGCCAGTTTGACTCACCTATTCGCGATGATCTTCTCGCAGTACACGTGGCGATGTCTGGTGCCGCCCTCGCCGCAGTGCTTGGTGCACTTGTCCCACTCGCCCGTGACCCACTGGGCGGGGCACGGGTTGTTGTTGCAGGTCTGGTTGGAGTCCGGTTTGAAGGCTTCGTTGCAGAGTCCGTCGTCCACCACGTCTAGTTCTTCGCGGGTCCGGCACGTAACGTTGCGGGTTTGGATACCTGAAGAACAAAAAAATCTTAGGTAGAATATTTTTTTATTAAGCCCTTCACAATTTAGGTCCTTAAAAATAAAATGAACTAGGCCAGGGATTTGTAACCCAAAGTGTAAGGGACTGGTGCCTGGAATAGGTTTCAAAAGAGACACCTACCTTATGCTACGGGTCACCAGGCTCCACCCCCGGTTCGGATTCTTATTAGTATTACATTAAACAAGCCGTTCTGAATAAAAAATGTGTCAGACCGGACTTTTTGTAAGGCAGCATAAGGGCTCGTGAACGACACGCCCTAAGACTATAGTTAAATATGTATGTAGATGAGCTGACGGTTTCTTACTTCTATTAAGTATATCTAGAGAAAACAAATAGAACTCTCAGAAAGAAGTAATACCTCCACCACATGTTTCGCTGCAAGGCGTGAACTCATCGTGGACCCAGTTGTACTCCTGGTTGGGCGGTGGCGCTAGTGCTTTGGGTATACTGTATTCGTACTGAATGCCCACGTTTGGCTCTTGTAGGAGAAGCTGAAAACAAATAATAACTTTATGTTTATACAGGGTGTTTGGCGCATCGTGTGCCAAAATTATTTGGCGGATAGAATGGGTCATTTCCTATATTTTCACCCCCCATAACACGTTCCATGTCAGGCGGCTACTTTCATATTAAGTTTTTTAGTAATTTCACCAAAATACCCAAATCGCATCATTTAATTTCGATTTAAAAAAAAACTACTAAGCGTAGCCTCAAAGTAAATATTTTGTTTTGACGTGCATTGATATAGGGTTGCATCAAATCTAAATTTACTGGCAAATATCATCTAGTTTTTTTTTAATTCAGCTTTGAACTTTTCCGAAAAGTTAAAAATGGACTGAACATTTAAGTTTACATGGCTATAAAAAAATAATTAAAAGAGATAGCGATCTTCGGATTTTATCAAAACTTCTCTAGTCTATCCCCATTCAAACGGTATACTAATCTTGTTTAAATAATAACAACAACTTCACAAATTCCCTAAATTAGTGCATTGACTCTATTCGGACTGATTTGCGAAATTTGTGTTTATAGCCCCTTTTTGTGTGAATAACACGTTAAATACCTACAGGTAAAAAATATTTATCTTATGCAATGTAAAAAACCTTTTCTCTATCGTTTTTCAATGTGGATTTCTTGAAATTAAAGACGAAAATAATTATTTTGATCGTTTATTAATTATTACAAATTTTGTTCAAAATGTCCGCCTCGGCAACGTATACACTAAGTAACGACATCTTCTTCTAATTTAGACTGGCCCTATACAGTGGCCTGCACGTTCCCCAGACCTAACTCCGTTAGATTTTTACGTCTGGGGACGAGGTAATGAACTGGTGTACGTAACGGAAGTTCAAACATTAGAAGAACTACAACAACGAATAGAAAACGCCTTTATAGTAATAAAAAGAGAAATGAGGCTGCATACGACAACAGTCGAAGATGTCGTGAGTGTATACGTTGCCGAGGCGGACATTTTGAACAAAATTTGTAATAATTAATAAACGATCAAAATAATTATTTTCGTCTTTAATTTCAAGAAATCCACGTTGAAAAACGATAGGGAAAAAGTTTTTACATTGCATAAGATAAATATTTTTACCTGTAGGTATTTAACGTGTTATTCACACAAAAAGGGGCTATAAACACAAATTTCGCAAATCAGTCCGAATAGAGTCAATGCACTAATTTAGGGAATTTGTGAAGTTGTTGTTATTATTTAAACAAGATTAGTATACCGTTTGAATGGGGATAGACTAGAGAAGTTTTGATATAATCCGAAGATCGCTATCTCTTTTAAAAAAATTTTTATAGCCATGTAAACTTAAATGTTTAGTCCATTTTCAACTTTTCGGAAAAGTTCAAAGCTGAATTAAAAAAAAACTAGATGATATTTGCCAGTAAATTTAGATTTGATGCAACCCTATATCAATGCACGTCAAAACAAAATATTTACTTTGAGGCTACGCTTAGGTTTTTTTTTAAATCGAAATTAAATGATGCGATTTGGGTATTTTGGTGAAATTACTAAAAAACTTAATATAAAAGTAGCCGCCTGACATGGAACGTGTTATGGGGGCTGAAAATATAGGAAATGACCCATTCTATCCGCCAAATAATTTTGGCACACGATGCGCCAAACACCCTGTATAATTGTGCAGAAATGTAGACTTTTGCATTATACCTATAAAACGCAGAAAAATCGTGCCAAGAATTGTAACATCATCATTTTCCCTCTAAAGTCCATTGTAAAGTAAAGACTTCAACGACACATCGAGTGGAATGTCTGGACATTTTATCTAGTGGCTTCAGGATCAGAAGCATGGAAAATAAAACTATCATAGGAATTAACCTAAGAGAAGAGTTAAGAAAGAGGTAAGACCTTAAATTGGAGACGAGCGACCAATGGTTTGCTACATAGGTTTATTTCGTTTTAACAGCATAGTATCCTCGTTGGTACATATTACTTACAGATAAGAAAAGCGCTTCATTCGTCGGTCCCAAACACCTCAGCTTGTCAGGCGAAGGCAGCCCGTTCTGGCTTCGCTCGTAGTGCCACGTCGCCCCCGCGATCTCTATGCTTCGAGGGAAGTCGATGTGGTAGTAACCGTTCAGGTAGTATGTGTCGTTCGTTGTCGCTCTTAACGCTGTGGGATAAACATCATTTTACTTTGATGGACGATAAACGAAGTAGGTATGTACCTACAGATTTATGATCCACTTACCTAAATAATTACTGGATGCTCTGACTTCTCTAATATAAATGTTGGTTGCCCCAGCAGGTATGAGAAGTATGTCGTTGTATCCTGAAAACCAATGAAATCATTAGACAATGTACCCTGGGCGTCGCAGATTCTTGGAAATTTGGCAATTACTATAAGGTTACCAAATTGAAATTTGTTAGTACTATAAAAGCAATTACTATGGTACATGATGGAAAACGCAGCGTGGAATGTCCACCCACAGGGCGCACCGACGACCTCATAAAGGTAGCAGGAAGGCGCTGGGTGTAGGCCCCTATCAACCAGTCAATAGATATCATTGACGGAGGTCTATTTTTAGCAGTAGACGTCCTGATGATGATGATGGTTGATGTGGTGAAATTGATAAACGGCAATCGTTGTTCAGTTCACCAATTAGTGAGTGGCTGGTCCTCAGAGTCTGTGAGGACCTGGGGTTAGTCAATGGACCCACCATTCCTGAGATCCTGTGTGTCCAGAATGTTGTCTTCAGTGTGGCAGTTGGTGCCATTCCCGCGGCATTCCCGGCACTTGTCCTCGCGCGCTGCTGACCCCAGCATCATGTCGCAACCGACAGGCTGAAATAATATTTACCATTGCAAAATTTACCATTTTTAATTACTACTTCGCCGTCTATGGCACCTATAGATATTATTCTTTTCAAACTGTTATTCTTGTTCCTCCATTTATATACTCCTTGACGATACTCAGTCATGCAGACGATAACTTTACCATCGTGAGTTAAAAGATTACAACTCCATCTAGCGGTAAGTAGTTTTCGTGTGCCACGCATACGATGCTTCAGAAATCTTTTTATAAACAAAAGTACGAAACACATAATCGCCAGTCTTTTCTTTTAGACTTGTTTTTTTTTTTTAATAATTTTAGTTTACCTGGCAGGTGCCGTTGACGCAGACGTCGAAGGACTCCTCGCTGCACCTGGTCCCGTCGACGACCTGCAGCTTCTGCCGGTAGTAGAACCGCTCGCCTCGCGGCATGCAGTTCAGCTCGCACGGGTTCGGACCCTTTGTGTATGGCACCCATCTGGATAATAATGGCAGAAGCTTGATCATACATCTTTTCAAGGTTCCAAACGCTTAATATAAAGTATATTAAGTGTTTGATGCTAGAAATCTTCTTGAAATATCACATTAAAAGTCAAAAAAGACTTTGGTAAAGAGATGGTGGTGGCTTATATTGGATTTAAAGGTACGAAGCGCTGACGCTATACCTTCTTCACCACTACGCTACAAAAATTTGCCACCACTTAGGAATTGAACCCGAAACATCTGGGTCTAAGACAGGTGGTTTACCAGTACACCTCAGAGGCGAGTTAAACAACAAAATATTACCTCGATTTCACTTATTTTTTTATATCTTTTTGCATGCTATAGGTACTTTGGTGAAATGTGTGATCTAAAGAAACATAATAATCTATTGTACCATCTATTTATTCATCAGCGTGAAATAGTTCGTGACACCAAAGTAAGTAGGTATAAACTACTTTACTATAGTCAAAAAATTCACAACACGTCTTTGTTAAAATTGGATTAAGGTTGTGTTGTCATCTTTTTCACCAGTCTGGGTGTCACGAATTATTTGACACTGACTGTACCATTTTCAAGCTAAATAATTGATTTAATTGGATTTGATGACTCACTTGTATTTGATTCCCTTAAAGGCCACGTCGTCGAACTCCGAGCACTGTTGGGCGCGGAAGTCCTGGGCGCCGTCGGGACAGTCCTGTGTTTGGCACGAGAAGAACTTCGTGTCTCCTCCCCGGCACAGAGGCTGGCCGTCTGGTCTGGAACAGAAAACATCAATTTCTTATAGTCAGGTATTTTTTTAAGGATGTAAAGTCAGCGGTTCCCAAACTTATTTTGTCTACTGCCCACTTTGAGAATAAATTCTTTTTAGCGCCCCCATTTGTAGTGGAGTGTCGAGTGCTCAGTCGGTGTCTAAGAGTCCTCCTAGTAAATGACGCCTCTCAAGCCTCTACACAACGTCCCGATTTTTTTTTTCTGAGTCTCTTACCGCCCCCCTTTAAGCATGCAGAGCCCACAAGGGGGCGTTATCGCCCACTTTGGGAAAGACTGTGTAAAGGGATACTTATGGAGAGCAAGCATTGTAGATTAGTGGTTCGATATGCGTAAATGTTGTGTTTCGTGGTAATTTTAGTTAATTTTTATGAAATAATTTTATCTTACAAAATCGAGACGAGAAAATTTAAATGCGTACAAAATTCGTGTCCAAGAAAAAAACAAAAGAACATCGAAATTGTTCGTCGAGAAAAATGTAGTGCACACGCATGCAGTTTTCTTAGTGGCCAGTGTTGCGCGGCCAAGGAGGCGGCCTTACAGTAACAGTAGGTAACAACGATTGATTTTGTTTATTTTGTAATGTCTGTCCTCTGCTAGGAATTTTGCCAGTGAAGCATTTGACGAGTCACTCGTGATGTTTATTATAAGGATGCTGTCTAGCGTAGTACAAACTCAAGTCTGAACAGGCTCAGGTCTTCAAACAAAGATAAAGAATTTTCACGTCTTCTATTCTGCTTTGCTTCTCTAGCTTTATTTAAGAAACAGAGCATGCTTCTAAGAGCGCCTTCAAATTATAGGTATGCAACTGTGCTAGAAAAATAAAGTCTAGAAATTGCATGAATACTAGTATAGTGTTGCTGCAAGCGCGCCACAATGGCACTACTGCAGCGCTTCCTCGTCTCTAATTTGAAGGCGCCCAAGTCTCATGTACGAGTATGTCTATGTCTGACTACGAGTATGTCTCAACTCAAAACCAAGATCCTTACCCAACTTCGAGACATATCCTTTTCTGGCTAGCTACACCCCCGCCGCACGTCCGCGAACACGGCGAGACCTCCCCCCACTCCCCCCACGCGCCGTGCCCCTCCCCCCCTGGTATCACGTATGACGATGAGAGGAACAGCCCGGCACCTTGCCGTCTGTGTCTGCTTCGGTGTCCGTGGACCTTTAGAACAGAACAAGGTGGTTTTTAAGCACTGGAATGTTTATGGAATAAATTACTATGACTATGACTGCACGACAAGCTAAAACACTGTAATTTGGCATGTTTCAAGAAGACTGACGCATCATAATACGGGACTATTACCACCTCTCTTTTCCACTGCTGCAACTCCTGTGTAGGCAGGATCTACAGCTTGACCGTCAATAGAAACCCAACCAGTGAAGATCAAGTTTGTCCCGGGGGAGAAAGTTAAAATGACATCTTAATGTTAAGGAATCAGGAATGATCTCATTTGAAAACTAGAATAGGTACCTACCCGAGTTTATCGCACTAATATTAGCTCCCAGTGGGATCTGAACTCGTAACTGCAGCTGTTATCGTAGTCGATAAACAAACAACCAGAGAGGCGTCAATATGCAGGCTATGAATAAAAATTTACAAACCTCTACACTGCGTATCAAAACATTTAACTACTGTCCGTCTCGCTTCAATAGTATCTACTAATTTCAGCTGTTAATTAAAAATTGGTATTTTCAGTGTTCCGCTTAAACGGCTATTTCTAATTTGTCACGGAGTTCCTTAAGTTGACTGAACTAAGACAATAGATTTGAGTCTAACAGAAAGCAAATGATTCATCCGCGACCAAATGATCTTGGGTGGCAGTCTATTTAGTAAATGAGATGATTGATTCTCTAATTGTTTTTGTCGCCATATCATCGCTACTGTGATTGTTCGTTTTTTGTCGTCAATCTTAATCCACGGTTAGCATGTGGGTGTTTTTCATAATATGGCACTTGGTTGAGTTCAGTATCAGAGAAGTGAAAGTAACTATGTAACTAGTTTGGTAGATAACCAGTAGCTGCCTACTGAAAATTGCTTTTTTGTCGACCAATGGCATATCCAAGTACAGAATCATACTCTGATTTATTTTTAGAAAACATTAAAATAAAACAAAACCACGCCAAGTGGGAATCGAGCCCAGGATCTCTTCGAGAGTCGAGTCTCTTCCGTAAGAAAACAAAACTCAAATCACTGCACTGACGTGTTTTGTGTCACTGAATAAAACATTTAATTTTCATTTCATTTCACTATTTTCAGTGAAGCTCATCTACTTTATATCTCAGATAAACGCACCAAAGCAATGCTGAATCAGGTAGCGCCGGAATATTGAAAAGTGAGTAGATAATAATCACTAACGTAGATGAAGCATTTTCGTCATGATTTTACTACTTATAATATTTATAACCAAAGCAGTTCAACGATGGCTATTGTATTCAACAAATCAATTTGCGATTGCCGATGGAATAATCGAAAGCAGCTTAAGATGTTCAATCTAACTTATAATGGTCTGTCGGCCATTGCATTTGAATGATTTATGGACTGCACTCCTCGAGCGTGGTTCCCGCATACGAAATGTTGTGGTGAATGCACTTGGGGCTAGTCCGGAGTGTTTGGAAGAGCAACTACAAGTAAGGCTGATGATACATCGCAGGTTTGCTCAAATAACTTGGGCATAAATGTTATGAAAGAAATTAATTATACTATATGTCACCTATTTGTAAAATGATGATTTGATGCCAACATTATTTTAGTTAAAAGTAAGATAGATAACTTGTTGCTTTTATTCAAATAATATTAAGTAAGTAGTTCATAAAAGGGTGTTGACGTAATTTTAGTCCAGAACTTTCCCATTATAATCTTCAATTGTTGATGTGATCATGCGTAAGACCTTGGCATTCAATTGTGGCCAACAAAGAAATGGCCACTTTTATATTCTTGATGACAATATTCTTAAACGAAGTGCTTGATTAACATTTGTTGTGACCTCGTTTCTCGGTTATTTTAAGTCTTACACTGTAACGAACAGACTTCTTCTTGTTGTTAATAATTTTGTTCTAGTTGCCCAATTAAAAAAAATTGCAGAACTTTAAGAAATAAAGTCAATGGCGGCCATAAATGTTGTTAAGACAAAAATAGCAAAATGTAGAGTCACCAGTCTAAACGCACCCTTTCTTCTAAAATGCCGATCACTGCGGGAACTCGCCGGCGATGGTTCAAATAAAATGTTATGACGATAAACAGCTTGTCATATCTTCAACTTTCTTCTGACTCCTGTCACGTCGCAATAAGATTTATATTCGTGTATCACTGCGCTGTGTTGCAACTCGGAGAACCTCGAGTGTATGCACATGAATAACGATTGATTTTAAATTATAAATGACAGTTTATTTGGATAAGTCGACGGACGCACCTGACGTGAAATTGCTTAGAAAATTACGGGAAATGCAAGTGACGAGGTCAATATCTTATTGCTGTCTAGTTCAACTCTTGGGTGTTAGGTTGTCTATTTCAATGACTAAGTGGTTATTAAGTTGCTATTTATAAAGTTTATCAAACAAACTTTTTTTTTTAAAACAAGTTTTTTTTCGTGCAATAAAATGATAAGCGTCTTTTTTCAGATTCGAGGGACATGTTTAAGTTTAACAAGGCAGGCATTTGACCGCAATCGCACCTGATGTTGAGTGAGATTAGTTGTTTTGATGATCCTTCAATGCTTATAATACTTGAACTATTTTTATGAATTACAGTGCCAATTTTATGACAAAGAGATTTCTTCCATGACGAACTGTTCAGCTACAGCCTGTCAAGTCTTAAGATTTATATGCTTCCCATTGCTTTGCTAGGATGGGTCATGGGTCCCGAAATAGCCAATGATCGCGAGTGAACGACCGATGACATGTCATCACTCCCGTCAGTCTTGGCGCCGCTTGATTGCTTTATAACTTCTCAGCCTTGTCTATTACATTCGATCTATTAGTAGGGCTGTCGAGAGGAATAGAGCTTATTTACACGATCTTCTGATCCTTTTTTTCTGTCATGAGAATTTTAAGTAAGGAAAGAAAGAAAGAAAGATACATTTATTACAATGGACATCACACAAATAGACATAACAGTGGCACATAATAATGGATGAAAAACAAAAATAAGAGTAAACTGAGCAGCCCACTGCAACGGGATCCCACTCAGCATATGCCGTGGCCCACGGCGACGAAGGCCACGGCCAAGTGAGACTCTATCAGTTATAAAAGGATCTATTCGGCCAATAGTGGAAACAAGGAAACCGAGATTGTTTCAAGTAGGTGGTTCCTGTTAGGACGATACTGGAAGCTTCCTATTGTTTCTTGTAAGTTCTGCAGCAGGTACATAAAGGTGATAATGGGAGATAATGTAATATGAAGTAACTATATAATTATACATAATAAGAAACGATAAGAGACGCCCGATCTAAATAGAGAAGTGTAGGAATTAATTAGCTAGATACTTGTTACTTTAATTAAAAATTTTCTACCTTTTGTTCATATCTACTTAAATTACATCTTTAATACATTCCTACACAACCCTATCCCAAATACTACGAGTCTCGTCCAGACCATAATATTAGAATGGTCTCACGCTGCGCTCAGTTCACGAGTGGCCGAATCTTCGCCGACATCGTAAAAATATAGTAGAGTTATTAAGTAGGTACCTCGTCGAAACTGAGAGTTATGGTTATAATTTGAAGAAGAAATGAAATACATATTAGGGGTCAGGTTTACTGATTCGTGAAAGCATTTCAGATGTTACCTGACATGAAACGTTACGTTATCTAATAAATTCCTGATAGCTATCTACCAGATTTTAACTATCCGAGACTAAACAACAAACGAAGCCCTTAAGAGTTGTAGTCTATCTGGTAGATAACTAGCCAATATTAATTATCGAGGAATATCAGTGGTCAAACACTAGTTGATAACGGGTTCCTTTCTCTATAGATTGTAGTTGAATCAGGTTCATCGCATTGGAAAGTTTCCTGCGTTCATATTGTAAAGAATAAAATAAATTAATGTGTCATAGGTGGTCAGGTCATATAACTTGCCACCGCAAATGGGTGACATTTATCGATTGATGCAATCATTTGTTTCATTGAAGATGATTGAACACGGGTTGTATCGAATTCGGCAAGTCCGTTTCTCTGATTGCCACACTTATTTGCATCGTAAAGCACCAGCAACGAGGTTCGTCTCAAAACAATCGACACCACTAAAATATCGATGTCTTTATAGTTGTAGAGCTGCATGAGAGTGTATTGTATGGCTGATAAATTGTCCAAAAGTTGACTGATATTTTAATAGAGTTTAATCGCGAGGCGTGTAAGCCTATTTGGTAGAGTCAAATGGTCAGGGAGTTCTGAATACTGGTTCATAGCCACTTTAGCGGTTTATACACACGTTTTACTTTTACAGTTCATACTCTACTTAGTTACTATAATTCTATGGGTCATCATTTATATGGCTCTTTGTAGGAAATAAAACGTATGATAGTAAAAGTGAACTTACATTGTGTGTGTAGTGATGCCTCGACGAGGTCCATGTTATACAATTGCTTACTATGATGGCTGCCACTAGCAGCGATCTGTAAAGAAGAAAATACATTTTATTAAAAACTATATTATACCTATGTATAAATAAGTAGGTAATAAGGATAGATATTATAGAACACTCTTGTTCTGTTTTTGCAATGTGCTTTAAAAGCACATCTATTTAATTAATTATAATAAGCACTTCTTTTCCTATTGTTCAACAAGTCTACTGAAGTTTTTACTTTTTTGGCTGTTAATTTCATTTTCTTCGATAAGAATTGTGTCATAATTTTATTATTATCATACCTACCACGTGACTACATTACGACAGAGTACAGAGCTGAATTATAATTTAAGAATATTAACCCATTAATCTCCTCGTCAACACAAACCGAGCCATCGGTATTATGATAACTGCGCGCGCGCAGGTTGCGTCGGTCACGGCCGGTAATTAGCTCCTCTCTTTGTAATGAGCTGTGTCCCGTGGGACGCTCGGCCCGGGAATTTGTGGGACACGGGACGAAAGGTGGACTTATGCCCGTTTTCACCATCAATCCATAATTTTTAAGTGACCCCTTTGAAAAAAAAATTCCCGTTATTTGTTATCATAGGGGTCACTTAGAAATTAGGAATTTATGGTGAAAACGGGCATTAGTCCCATTGTGCATTTTTAAAAGACGTTCGCACTGCAACTTTAAATTCCTATTTTTGTTGTAATTTGATAATCTGCATTTATCCAGTTTTTTTCAAGTAAATTAGCTTGTTAGTAATCATAATTAGGTAATATTAGTTAACATGAGTTTAATTTACCTATATCTACTTCACATTTGTGTAAAGTTAAAACTACTAGTTAGATGGCTCGCGAGGTCAATGCATGCACATTTGCATTTTCTGATAAGTGTTATAAACTATCGTCTAATACATATAATGTATTATTAGAGATATATGAAGGATGGCCTAAACTAGGTGTTCTCGTAGGTATTAACGGAAAAAGAGTTAAAAAAGTTTGCTATAGTGCTGAACGGTTATTGATATAGTTTGCGTCGTTAAAACGTTTCGATCAGACCAGCTGGTCTAAAAGGCACGTCGTGATAAAATCTTATCGATGATTTTAGACGACAAATGCATAAGCTTATATATTAAAACTTATGGCGGCGCGCATCTTAAGCACACATTTTGGTTCCTGAGATCAACCACCCAAAAAAACTCGACAGCTTTGTAACATAAGTAAAAGTATAGATATTAAACCCTTTCACTAAATATCATCCCAAAAATCCTCTTTCCGCTCGTATCTCACGCCTCGCACCTGCTTCCTAAGATGTTATCTACCACGATCCTCTCCATCCCTAGTCCTTTATCGATATCCCCATCGAATATTCGATAGTTCGTAAACGACACCGCGAGATCACGTGATACGCGTTATTTACATACCATTACCCGATATAATTGGGCCCTAAAGTGTTAAAGATTGCATCTCGTTATGATACTCATTACAGATACGGTTCGTCTGCGTTAAAATATTCAGTGTAATAGCGGGGTTACTTTGTCTTTCCTGCTCTGATTTATTTATTACTAGCTTTCCGCCCGTGGCTTCGCCCGCGTGGAATTTTGTCTGTCACAGAAAAACTTAATAGCGCGCGTCCCTGTTTCAAACACTGGGATAAATACTATCCTATATCCTTTCCCGGGACTCTCATCTCTATGCTAAATTTCATCAAAATCGGTTCAGTGGTTTAGGCGTGAAAGCAAGACAGACAGACAGTTACTTTCGCATTTATAATATTAGTATAGAAGTACCTATAGATGAAGAGGAGAGGAGAGGTTTTTGAATCTGTGAGGCTGAATGATTCACTGTCTTTGCTTCTGGCGAAAAAAAGTCTACAGGATCGAGAGTAAAAAAATTGAAGAAAAAATTTAAAACTCTACTCCTACGTGAAAACCGCATGAAGCTTTAGCTTTTGCAATAAATAAAATTCATTCATACAAACAATGTTTTTAAAATTTTGGCGTAAGAAATTACCTACGTAACTTAACTAGGTGATATGTCTATAACTTAACAATGATTAATATATTTTTGAGACATCCATACACAATGGACTGGGACCGAAGTTCAAATATAACTATAAAAGAACCATACATAATAAACAACTAACCAGCCACTTGCCTAAAATAGTGACTATGTCATATTACAACGTCGTAATGTGGTGTTAACGGTGTCAAGCGTCATGCTAAACAAATTTAATTTCGCATTGTAAGCCTTGAATGTAAAAACTAAGTGCCCAAAAATTGTCTTCAACTTGGCTCATCGGATCGAGGTCACGATAACGCTGGTGCATACTAATAAACCAATCTCAAAATCAATAAAACAAGCTACATAATTAGCTCAAAATCAATAAAACAATCTATTGTCAATACATTGTAGATTTATAGTGCTTATTTTAATGATGTTACCCTCCTAAGATTTAAATATTTTTGCATTTAATGTTTTATGGGTTAAATCTGGAATTCAGAAGGTTTACAAGTTCCTTTTAAACCTCTTCTGAATTTGAAGTATCCCTGAAAGTTGTAGAGTTTCAGCAGAGTAGATAAATCAAACAGCTTCATACAAATCACAGGTTTCAGTGCCTAAAATGTCATCTATTTCACTTCTAAATCTAAAGTAAATCTCGCTGAAAACTCTATAAAACACACATAACTCCCTTTTTCATATTTATCTGAATGTCATTTAACAGAAAGTAAGAACGAAATAATGAAAATAATGTCTTTGGTGTTCTACCAGAGCTTTTTCATGAGTCAGCTGCAGCAGCATCCACAATCAAGATACTTACAGCTTTGTTCTAAAACCAATTAACTGTATTTTCTATGTAGGTAAGTGATGGGTCAAGACTTGGATCCTTTTGTCAATACGTCCTCTGAACTTCCCTCAAAGGACCTGCATTACTCACAATCGAGCAAGGCTGCAAATTTTAATATTACTAACACCATCCCGCCTGTTTCGAATCTGAATGAATTTGAACGAGGATCGTTCATGCACTGCAATTTTAATAATATCCGGTGGCCATTGTCATACCTAATTAGCGATCATTATTTGATAATGCAGTGTAATTGAATATCTAAAATGTTGCACAAAGAACTCGTTGATACATAATTTTATTCATAACGCGTGAACGGATTAAGTATGCCGTGCTTAGTAACCTTGTTTTACATGCATAAATCATAAGTTTTGGTTACCATTAGTGAGAGCTAAATTAGCCCTGATGTCCTAACATAGGTGTCTGACGATTGTAACACTTGTAAAGATGGTAGACAGTAATAAAGGACCGGGTTGATTGATATAGATTATCACGGTATCTTTTCTTTTTACATACTCGTAATAGTTACTATGTATTACTTGCCTGGGAAGCAGAACCAGAATCAGTTGAATCCAATATTTGAAGCATCTTCTAGGTACTTTGAAAAAACCTCAGAATAGAGTATAGTTACTTAAGCTAACATTAATTCCGATCAGTTTGTTAAATTAACAATTTGCTCAAATCAAATTGAAGTACGTATGTCAAGGGTGCAAAATAGCCAGTTAGTTTAGCGTCAACAACTCCATTACTAATTCTAATAAAATACATGTGGAACCTTGCAATGTGAAAAAAGAACATCAAAGGGACAGGAACATGAAAATGTAATTTTTTGCGCTACAAAACGATTTTAAAAACTCGTTGCTAGGCGTAAGACTAACAAATCAACGAAGCTATATTACTTCGCTGTTGTAAACATCTTGGGCAGAAGTAGGAACCGCGAGTCAGGAAGCAGGTAAAAAAGGGTCAAGTTTGGCGATTCTGGAGTTTGTTTCTCGCGTTACTTCTCCAATAAGTCACTATCAAGGGTTACTAAACATAGTGTAAATTAATATTTTTATACAAATACAAAATTTTCTTAAATTCTTCGTTTATTCAGTTGTAAACTGATAGCTTATTTTCACATTATGTACCTATTTTGCAAGCATAAAGCAAGCAAGATTTTTAATTCAAGTCAAAAAACCGTCACCAATGGTTTCACCGAAATTAAATTTAGGCCTCGACGAAGGGCAGAAAATACCAAATTACTTAGCTCTTTAAAATGTAATTTCAGTAAATTAATTTAAAGTTATTAAAGTTAATCCTGTGTTCAGTCATCCTCAAAGGGCGTGCGGAACATCGCGGAAACTCTACCGTGCTCCCAAATATTTTGTGCTCAAAGGAGCCGTCGCACGCGCAATAAAGCTTGCAAATAAACAGAGGGGTTCATTGACACTTGCAGTAAGGATGTACCGAATTCGGGGAACGGGCTCATGCTCTTGGTATAGTAGTCGGGTTTTTGAAACTACAAAGATTTAGGTGGCTGACGGAAGACTGCATGCGGAAAAAACTTCTCTTTCGTCTAGTTTTGTATGGCCAAACTCAGGCCCTGGTCTTCTTAGTACCATTTAGTTCACAGACAGAGGGCATAGATAAGGCTAATTGTTTATAATTAGTCTCTTATTTTTAGCATAATCTTGTTTTTATTTTAGTAGCTCACTTAAGTATTATTTGTTAGCGTTTTATTTATTTTGTAGATGCTGGGTCTTTAGGTGTTGACTAGGTTTAAATCATAATATCTAAGTTGGATGAATATTTCATCACTTTACTGAATTTTCAAAAACTTTCAGCTTAAATCTGACAGACGTAACCTACTTAACGTAACTTTTTTCCTGATAATCCTCGTAGGTTTATACACAAGTAAGTATATAAGAAAATGTTAACTTAAGTATAAAATACGAGGTTTATTTGCATAGACGCTTAAACAAAGCATCAGTGTTGAAGTTGTTTGATCTTCGGTCTTGCAAATTGTTTGGTATTATGCAAAAGCCACGCAAATGAGAATCGAATTGTAGAGAAACCAAACAGCACGACTTGTGCAAATGTTGGAAGACGAACAACGTCTCCGTTGAATTTCAACAATGCTAAACAATAATCCAAAGATTGACTTTAAGTAAAAGTTTATTATCTAAGTACTAGGTTTAGCAAGGGCTGGTTTTGTAAAA